ATATAACCAGTCAAGCTCGCTACACCAGAAAACTAAGCGATGCAGAAGCAAAACCTTTCATCAGCCTTGGCAATATTCAGGGTTCCAAATGGCTTCTTCCTCAGTAGCATTATTTGAAAATATATAGGAAATTATTTTTTACCTATTTAGATGAGGTTAACTGAGAAAGCCTATGTATTACGTACAGAATTACATGTAACACATTGATATGTGTTTGAAAAAAAAGAGTGTAAATTTGTAATCAGTGACTTGTAAATCTGGAATCAAATTATTAATTATAAGACACTAATTAACCAGCCAACCCCACCCACTCCTTCCTTTCCCCTTCAAGACATTGTCTTTTATTTTATTTTTTATTTATTTATTAAAACCTCGGCTGTATAAAGAGAATTTTATTGATATTGAGAAACAAGTTACGCCTAGTCATGAGCTAAAAGCATTATCTCTCATAATACAAGAAAAAGAATACCAAAAAAAAAAGGAGGGACATAAATTTTATGCCTCTAAAAATGAAAATAAGAAAAATACAAATAAAAGTTAGGGATATGAAACTTAACCTCTCTAATGTCAAACATAAAAGTCTAAACCTAACCCTGAAGAATTTTTAGGTACGTAATAAAAGATAGGGGCCTTTTTAGTATTTGATATTAATTTTTAAATTAAGATACTTGATGTAGAAATAGATATTTTTCATGTATTTAGCGGATTTTTTTTTATACATATCAATGTACAAAGAGTTGGCGGTCAGAGAATTCTAGGACCCCACTCGAGGCTCGGAGCTCGCTTAGAACTCCGAAATTCTCAGGGCCGGCCTTGGTCAATATATCCGCTTAGGACTCCTTTCGGTTACCACCCAAAGTTGGCGGATTGCTGTTGTGCATTTCAGATCTCTCTATTCATATGGATCGTCGGAATGAACATGATCTGAATTGAGGCGAGAATTAGACTGCCACGCGAATCACTGTCCCGAAAAGGTAGAAAATATGGTCACAGATATGAACTTTGAAGATATTAGAAAAGCATCACAAATCTTACTTCACTTGACATCAGTGATCGTTCTGAGAACACATTTACTTCTTCAATGCCTAGCTAGGTGGATTTTCAGACTTCAAAATCTAGTTTTTCTCCTACATATTGGGTCGGCCAACACTTAAGTGTTGTTTTGACAAAAAAAAAAAAAAAAAAAACACTTAACTGTTGTAAACACTTGTTATGTTTCTCCTTATTCCTTTCTTCTGTGTTTTTTTCTTTTCTTTCTGTCTCAAGAAATTGATTTTTCTTTTACTATTCTTACACCTCAGAAACAACTTGTCTAGTTGTTTCGAGACTGATTAAATATAACAAATTGTCATACGAGTGGCAATCTACCACAGTGGTGGGGAGGAATGTGGCTCTTAAACCACGGCGTGGGTTCGAACTCCGTCGGCTCCCTAATCTAAAATCTAATCTAACAAATCTATTGTTTGACAAAAAAAAATGTCATGAATATTTGGAACTTTCCATTTTCCCTTTCATGGTAAATCGCCAAAATGGTTCCTGAGATTGTCCACCATCCATCATTTTGGTCATTCCATTAAAAACTCCATTAAGTGTCCCGGAGCTCTTGGCCGGAAGTTTAGGCAATTTTCAAAGCTTCGTAACTCAATCGTTTCTTAACCAAATTCGACCCATAATATATCAAAATGAAGATAGGAAAGTGTAGAATAAGATTATACCTATTTCAAAGTCCAATGGTTGCCAGAGATGGCCGAAAAATAGCCTCAAAGTTGCCTGGTCCGAGTGAAAACTTGAAAACTCGCCGAAAACTGGGTAAACTTTAAACGTTCATAACTTCTTCAATACTCAACGAAATCAAGTGATTCAAAATGAAAATCATACTTCTCGACAATACAAAGAGAATTGTACCTTTTTTGACGGCTAAATTGCCGTGGTTTGGCCGGAAAACAGCTCGAAAGTGGCTAACTCGAAACCAAGACAGCCACTTTCGAGCCATTTTCCGGCCAAAACACGACGAGTTAGCCATCAAAAAAGGTACCATTCTCTTTTTATCGTCGAGAAGTATGATTTTTGTTTTTGAATCACTTGATTTCGTTGAGTATTGAAGAAGTTATGAACATTTAGGCCTTGTTTGGCAGCTCGGACTGTACTGACTATATTTGTCGGATAGGATAAATAGTCACCGGACAGTACTGACTAAATTAGTCGGGCGTTTGGTGCAGTATCAGATTAATGACCGTATTATTTATACAGTGTTTGGTATTATATCGGATAGGAGGAAAACTTAAAATAAAATTAAACTTAAAAAAAAAAAATGAAACCCATATCTCTCCGCCGCACCTCCAAACTCCCTCCCTCTCTCCATTCTTCTTCCCCGACTACATAATAGAAGAATCCCAAATAATGAAACCCAGATCTCTCCGCTGCACCCCCAAACTCCTTCCCTTTCTCTCTTCTTCTTCTCTTTCCCCGACTGCAAAAGAATCCCAAACCCCCTTACTGGCCTGGGCTCAGCCTTGGCCTCTGAGAATTTTTGGAAGGGCTCCCTTCGGGGCAAAGCCCTGCAATTCTAAGTCCAAATTTCTTGCTACCTTCACAATCTCCTGATTCAAAGTTCCCAGGTTCCTCACCTGCCAGTTGTAGGCGATGGTAAAAGGAGCGGAGAGCGAGAGTGAGAACGAGCGGAAGTTCCCAGGTTCCTCACCTGCCAGTTGCAGGTGATGGCAGAATGAGCGGAGAGCGAGAGTGAGAAGGAGCGGAGAGCGAGAGTGAGAACGAGCGGAGAGCGAGCAGAGAGCGAGAGCGAGAACGAGCAAGAGGCCGACTAAGTTATACGGAGAAATTGGACGGGATTAGGAAGCAGGTATACACCGAGTAAAAAAGGTGGGCCCAGATTATTTAATCCGGTGCTTATTATCCAAACGGCACCAAACACCGTACACCGTATTATTAGTACTATTTGGTGCTTATACGGTTGGTTAAAGTTACGTTTTCAAACGGTTGTGTTCAACTTTGAGGCTATTTTCCGGCAATCTCCGGCAACCATTGGGCTTCTAAATAGGTATAATCTCCGGCAACATTTTCTAAAATATAGGTATAATTTTTGGTTAAGAAACGATTGCGTTACGAAGCTTTGAAAATTGCCAAAACTTCCGGCCAAGAGTTCCGGGACACTTAACAGAGTTTTTAACGGAATGACCAAAATGATGGATGATGGATAATCTCAGGGACCACTTCTATCGATTTGGAATCTCATGGACTAAAGTGATGAGTTATGCAAATCTCAGGGACCATTTTGGTGATTTACCCTTCATTCTATTTTTCAAACTATGGGCCTTTCCATGCCAATTCGATGAAAAGTTGAAGCTGTAAGCATCTAATTGGCAAATTTGTCAATACTTTCGAGCAATATGACGAGGAATACGAGCTCAGCGGCTAAATTTCAAATCTTTTCAAGCGTTGTTTGGGATTTAGATTGAGAACCAAATATTTTAAGTTTTTTTTATATTTTTAATTATTTGTCACTCAACAGCAAAAAGATTAAAGTGTGTTGTGTCTGAGAATCAAAATAACTAGTTTAAAGATCCGAGATCTTTGAAAAATACGGTCTCATGCCGTATAGGATGGTTTAGACAAACTGCTCATGCCGTAGAAAGTGCTCATCCGTAAAGGATGGTTTAGAAAAAAGTGAGGCTCCCTAGTTTATATAGCTGGCACTACTCTGGATAGCTCATTGCTCATGCACATCACCTACTTCATACACTAAAACTATATGGAGAGAAGCACGAGAGTTGTTTTACTACTAATCAGGTTTCTAGCTATTGCAACCATTACTATCCGTATTGGTTTATGCAATGGAAATCTCCGTTGGCCTCCACTTTGGAAAGAAAGAAAGCGAAAGACAAGCACTTCTAATGTTCAAGCAAGATTTCAATGAAGAACTTACAGGCCTCCTCGCATTGCAGTCATTCAACTTATCAAAATATCGCTTCACCGGAATAATTCCCTCAAAGATTGGTAATATGAGATGGTTAGAATCTCTCAATTTGTCCACGAACAAACTCCATGGTGAAATTCCTTCGAGCATGACAAATTTGACATTTCTAAGTCACTTGAATTTGACCTACAACAATTTGACGGGACAAATTCCGGAAAACACTCAACTGCAGAGCCTTGATCAATCTAGCTTCGTCAACAACAAACTTTGCGGACCTCTGCTCTACAAGATTTGCAAAGTGAATGGGGTGATACCGCCACAAACAGTTGAGCAGGACAGAGGAGGAGGATACCATTTACTCGAAGACAAGTTGTTCTACATGACCTTGGGACTTAGATTCTCCACGGGGTTTTGGATTGTGCTTGGTTCTTTGCTAGTAAACATGCCATGGGGCATTCTTCTTTCAGGATAGGATAGTGCTTAAACTATATCATATAATTGTTGAATATGTTTAGCTTTGTTTTGTACTTTGAATGAGCTTCTTGTTGTTGGCATTTCCTTTGCTACAACGAATAAGCCAGTATGGTTGAATTGTATGTTTTTTTTTTCAAATTTCGTCCCTTTGTTTGATTGTAGTTCTTTTTCACTTTGTTTTATAAAAATATTATCCCTTATAAAATTAAAAAGACTTGTTCTCGTAACAAGTACCCCTTCATTTAGCAAACGTAAATTGAATGACATGGAAATGTGAAAATGGTTTAGAGAATAGTTATTTGTTAATTAATTATTAGCAAACTCGCATTATTTCATGGTTGTATTTTCAATTGGTTTTTTATTTACAGTTTTACCTCTCAATCTTTCTTTTGTTCTGTCTATTCTTTCCATTCTCTCTATTCTCTCTCCCCTTCTTTTCGTAGTACTTCTCTTTCTTATTCGTACAAATTCACGTGACACCTTTCGGCTTTTTTCTACTCAATATCTTCTTTCTTGCTCTTTTCATTGATCGAACTTTGTTCATCCTTTCTTTTATTTTATTTTTTCTGCCATTTTGACACGCCCCGACCCTGATATTCCCTGAATACCATGATAGACACTTGCTGGCTGACACCCAAGGGTGACGGAAGCCATTAATTGATACAAAAGCTAAGAATAAGAAATAAATAAGGGTTAGAAATTTAAAAATACGAAGAATTAATAATTTCAGGAACGTTCTCAGAACATACAACTAAATCTAATCACTAAAAATAATTAAGATAAAATTGGATGAATAAGGAAGTGGGTCCTACATCGAGAGGATCCGAAGATGCTACTGTGGAAGTGTCTTCACGCCGGGATTAGGTGCCTTGATTCTAAGTCCTGAATAGGGGCGCAAAACAAAGGTGAGTGGACCAAGTTTATATATACAATAATAATAAAACAGTTATTAACATACTAACCCCCAAAGTTTATATAAATGAAAACTACTAGCATAAGTGATGGATTTAATAAAAATCCTAGCATGCCAAAAATATCTCAAAAGCCATATTGCGGAATCTCATCGCATAAATCAAAACAGTAAACGTCTCATAAATCGTCTCGTAAGCGCGGTGTGCTGCTAGTAAGATCACCGAATAAATATAACTCCCGGCCCAATGCCTGCACCTAAGTCTCTGTGCCCGTAGCCAGAGATAACTCCCTCCCGGCCCAATGCCTGTCACCGTGTCCCTCAGCCTTTTGCTAGGGATTATTTCTCCCGGCCTAAATGCCAACACCAGATCCTCGCCCCAGGCGGCATAGTATCCACCAGGTACGCACAAATAGTTACGCCTCTCTTAAATAACCACTTCATAGCATAGGTTACCGATCATCGTCTACACTATAAAGAGGGGTTCAAAAACATGTTCTAGCATCCTATCGTCATCTGTCAGATAGTCTACCAGTTCATGATTTTTATAGAAAATATGATATATTAAAATATAGTTCAAAATAGGCTAACAATTAATTCCTCACCAAAACACGAGACAATAATCAATATCTTAAATCATCAGGCTTCACATAAATCAAATCATAAATCCGTAGGCATGCTAATCATTTATGCAATTACTATAAAATCATGTAATTTTAGAAATGGTCCACTCACAGTACTTCGCCGTCAAAAGCTGCGCCACTAGCAAAGACGGAAACGTCACAATAATTGCCCCTAAGCACATTAAAGAGTCCAATAAATTAAACTATATAATAGCAATTGAATTTGGGAAAATGGACATTGGAAACGGATTCAGAACATCGAATTACCCTAAGAAGGGTCCCGGACGAAAACCCAAAAAGTCAATCCTAAAGTCAACGTTGACCGGGGGTCAACGGTCAAATTAGGTCAAACGGGTTTTAGGCTTGAAATCCGGATTAGGGTTTAGGTTTAGGTTAAATAGGGTTAGGACCTATTGGGTTTTGAACTAAATAAAATAAGGGAATTGGGTTGGATGGGTTAGGCCCTAATAGATTTTAGGAACCTAGGGCTTTTGGGTTAAAAGGGTTTAGGGTGGAAAAATTGGGGTTTGGGCTTTAGCCCAAACACACACACCAAAAACACACACACACACAGGCACAAGGCCCTAAGGCCTCACAAGGGCAGGGCTTTAAGCCCCCTTTAAATCAAAACCGGCCCAAGGCCATTTATATAAGGCCCGAGCCCTTTTTGGGTTTTAAAACCAATTAACAAAACTTAAAAACTAAAGGGGCTAGGGTTTTGGGCTTAAGACAACACGGGCCTAAGGCCCGAGGGAGAGGGAAAGGCCGGGTGGCCTGTTGCCAAGGAAGAAGAAGGCCGGAAATTCGCCCGGAAAACCACCCCACTTTAAACGGCCATAATTTTGTCACTACTCAATGAAATCAAGCGAGACAAAAACAAAAGTTGTAGCCCTGGAAGAGACGAAGAGAATCATACCTCACACGACATCTAACACGCCGTGGTTTGGCCGGAAATTTCCTCGAAAGCCTCGGAGGTCGCCAGAAACTGGGTAAGATTCAAATGCGTATAACGTCTTCAATACTCAATGAAATTGAGTGAAACAAAAAGGAAAGTTATAGTACTCGACGAGACGAAGAGATTGATACCTTTCACGCCGGCCAACTCGCCGTGGTTTGGCCGGTAATGGCCTCGAAAGCCGTCGGACTCGCCGGAGGTTATTTTCTTGGTTTCGCTGAGTTGCGCAGAGGCAAGAGGAAGAGGAAAGGGACGAGGTTTAGATGGTGATTGTGTCTTCCTCGAGCAGGGAGTGCAGCTGGGTGTGAGTGTGATCATAGAGAAGAGAGGAATAGAAGTATACGGGAAAGGGAAGAAGGAGAGGAAGAAAGAGAGAAGAGGGCTCGGGGACAAAATCAGGGGGGGTGGGTCCCCTTGGCTCACCATTTAAGACCAAAAACAAATTTTAAAAGGAAGATAAATTTCCAAACTTGATGAAAATACAAAAATACCATTTATGTACAGTAAATTTCGGGACGGGTTGTTAGAGAGGCATTCTCTGTCACAAAGCATTCATATTGATGCCAATATACGTAAAGTTTGTAGATTTGAAATTGGATACATTATGAAGCAGCTTTGTTGTTCCTAGAATAAATAAAAACTACTCGACTCGACATGTACCGATCTGTAGTTGCTTGACATCCTAAGCATAAGGGTTAAGAAGAGGGCTCTGTTTAAATCTCTGAGAAGTGCAGGACAAGGGCATAAATTGCACGTACAAAAGACCTGGAAACAAAGTATTACGGCAGGAAAAGAAGTAAAAAGAAATGCCAGAAGTATAGGGACCGGTCCCTCGTCTCTGCATGTGGATGAATGCATCATGCATGCTACAACGACAGTGAAGGAAGAATATAAAGTATTACCGAAACTTCATCTCATTTGGTTTGCTGCCCCTAAACGCGGAAAGAGAGAACGATACTGTATGCAGGTGTAGAAAATTTGCAAGAAAATAAATAAATCACAGAGAACGATACTGTGTTTTTAGTGATGTAATTCAAGTTCTGTTTATTTTGATTTTAAATTACATGATGGTGTACCTGTATATTTGTCTAATCTGTCTTTTTGTTGTTGTAAGCAATGTGTTGCTGTTGTGTTAAAATAGTACATATCTGCTATTTGGATAATGTGTAACAGAACAAAATTATGTTACAAATCTGGGTTGACAACACTAAACAAAAATCTTAACTTAAATGCCTCAAAGTCACTTCAATTATTTACCCTACTCAACTTAATTTAGTTCCCTTTTTTTCTCAAATTTGTTTTGTGGCATGATTGTTTGATCCTTTACTGAATAGTTGTTAAGAAATGGTGATTAAAACGACTCATATTTTTTGCAATTTTTTTGTTCTGCAGAAATATGCGGTGCATGATAGGCGAGAATTCTTCTTCATTGTGAACATTTTGGTAAATCTTGTCTTTCAATATTTTTCTATTATTCTTTGCATTGTTCTTTCTTGAGTTTTATGTGAGATTTATTGGAATGGTGGTTGTTTAGTGGTTTTCGACGTTGCTGATAAAGGCTTCTCTGCCCTCTCACTTCCCATACACTCTTATCCCTTTCTATTTTGTACGGTCATGGTTAAGCCACATTAAAATTTTATATTGATTTTTTTATAGAGATAATAAGACAAAAAACAATAGTAATATAAAATGTTGACGTGGCTTAACCGTAATCACACAAATAGGAGATGATGAGAGTGTATGAAAAGTGGGAGGGCAAAGATGCCAGGTCCATTTTAGTTTAAACTTTCAGTAACCCAAGGCAGAGGCAAATTTTGATTTTTGCCTTCCTTTGGGGGGTGGGTCGGACAAGCATGTAACAAAGATTATAATCTTTGGAAGTATTTGGTGATCAACTGGACAATCCTATTAGTGTATCCATTGGAGGTTGTTTAGATTTATATCTCTACTTTTTATTTTATTTTTAAGTATGTCTACAAATCATAAAGATGCTTCTGAAGAATGATAAGTAACAATTTCCAAAATTTTATTGAAATGTTTTTTCAATGGTGTAAAAGAGCTAAAATTGAACAGTTCAAAAAAAACAAAAGAAGCTAAAATTGAAAGACGGGTTCGTTTTTTGTTCTATTTTTTGTTTTTGTTTTTGGATTGCTCTTCTGGTTGAAAAAAATGAGCATTCTTTGTTATTTTTTTCTCTCATTTCACTATCTATTTCTATAAAATCTCATACTCATGAATATTGTCATCAAGGCGGATGGCATGAAAATGTTAATGCATTTTCCCTTGCCAGTTTATCAATTTGAATTCCACTTTATTTGTGATTTGTTAATTGAAATATGTACTAATTTATTATTTTGAGTATGTTGTTAATTGACATTTGTAAGCTTTTGATTATTTTTGAAAGGTTATATATTTTATGCTAAAGGATATGGATTGTCTACCTTCTCTATGCCCTCTTATTTATGTGATCAGGATTAAGCCACGTTAACATTTTATATTCTAATTACTTTTTATCTTATTATTTTTATAAAAAAAAATTAATATAAAATATTGACGTGACTTAACTGTGATGGTGGGGGCAGAAGACCATAGAAATAGAAGTGTATGAAATGGGGAGGCAGACAATCCATATCCTTTTTTAGGATCCTCCCTCTTCCCCCTGAACAAGAAATCCGAAACCCACAGCCCAAAACTCACTCATACTTCGCCCCTCTCCTTGGCTTGCCACTTTCCTCATCTCCCGGTGGTTGGCTCTCTCCATTCCATTCAATTTCGGTGACTTCTTTCTATGCTCCTGGGGATTTTATTCTCTTCCTGGTTGCTCTGATAGAAAATCGTGATTGCTTGATTTTTTTTTTTTTTTAATTTAGTCATTTTCCATGGTTCGAATTGAAATGCAGCTGAATCTATCTTCCTTCGGCAGCGTTTTGGCGAATCCGTTTGTGTTCAATGGCTATTTGAGCGAGGGCACTGAGAGCTCTGGGGTTTCGTTCTTGGTCCCCTTTTTGCTGTTTCAAGGTGGTGCGATGGATTTGTCAAAGGTCAGCGAGAAGATTCTGAGCTCCATTAGGTGTGCCAGGTCGCTCGGCCTTCTTCCTTCTGCTTCTGATCGCCCCGAGGTGATTGAAATTTCAGTTTTTGCACGTAATGCAGCTTTTAAGGCCTCCAATTCGATGCGTTTAGTGTTTAGTTGTGTGAAAGTCGATTGTTTCGGAGTAAAAGCGAGTTGAAATCGTTTCATTAGATCATATAATTTGAAATGTTTGTTCCAAGCGTGTGTATTTTGCTTTATATACTGAATAACAGTTTGGTTTGGTAGATTATCTGCGGTTTCGTGTTAATTAAGAAGGTTAAATTTAATAAGTATCGTAGTTAATTCATTTGTATTTTGGTTTGGTAGATTATCTGCGGTTTCATGTGTATTTTGCATTATATACTGAATAACAGTTTGGTTAAGAACAATGCTTATTAATCTGGCAGTCGTAGTTAATTCATTGTTAAGTAGGGAATGAAAATGTTGTGCTTACTGCGAAATTTAGCTGATTGGTACAGGGTTAAAATAAACGTTTATTTCTGTCATAAATGTATTCATGCGTTGTTTACCTTCTCGAACAGGTTCCCACGCAAGATGCGGCTGCTGCAGCGGTTGCATATGCTATTGCTGGACTGCCTCCACATCAAAGGTTTAGTCTCTCTTCAAGCTCTGAAGAATTGAGCTCAATATATGGAAGCAGACATCATGGTCAAAAAGTGGAGGAGATAGAGGAAGAATTCTATGAAGAGTTGCTACTGTATAATTATGTTTTTTTTTTGTACATTTTCATTTGAGTTTTCGCAAAACATAACACATGAGGAAGTATGTTGGTATTTGATTTTGATTTTACGAAATTCTGAGAATTTTATTTAATTCAGTTTATAGCCGTTCAGTAATTTTGTTTATTTCCAGAATCTTCTAATCCTCTTGATGCAACGAGTCGAAGGGGAGCCGCGAGTTCACCGAAGCTTTCAAATTTTGCCGACTCACTCATTGTAATCTCTGGAGGTCGCACTTGGTGCGATGGCAAGTGCCTTCGCCCATGAGCGGTAGGTCTCGGGTTCGAGACTTGGGAGCAGCCTCTCCATAAATGGGGGTAAGGCTAGTCGACATTTACCTCTCCCAGACCCTGGGTAAAGCGGGAGCCTTGTGCACTGGGTACGACTCATTGTAATCTCTCTCTCTCTCTCTCTCTCTCCCCCCCCCCTGTTTTTCTATCCTGTTGCATTTGGGTTTTCCCCTGTTTCTCTTTCTGTGATCTAATTTGAGGTGAAGTTTGAATTTTGGTTGAATTGGAATGTGGGTTTAATGGGTTTCCTTTCGTTTGTCGATTCGATTTTGTTAGGATTGGCATGTGGTTTTTCAAGCTTTTGCAACCACTTCGGGTCTGGCAAAGGTAATAATTCTACTCTTCATTCCCTAAGCTTCATTTTGTATGCCCAGAAAATTTTGAATTGAAAACGTGATGGAGTTTTAGGAAATACCCATGTTCTGTAGTTTTCCCCATTTGTTGTTTTTTGCAATTTCTTTGATCTTGTTAGCCATATAAGCATGTTTTCCTCTCTTCATTACATTCCGAATCTTTAAAATCCTTACTATTCGTGTTCGGGCGAGATGCTCAAGACAACGTATTTGAAGGACCGACCATTCAAAGAACGTAATTATTCCATCTTATCAGCTATGAAACTTTTGTCAAAGATTCCTAGAGTGTCCGACTGCTACTCTCATTGATGTGCATTTGTTTAGAAAATGCGGTCTGATGCCGTAGAGGATGGTTTAGAAAAAGTGCTCATGCTGTAGAGGATGGGATTAAATTTAGAGATTAAATTTGAAGGACCGACCATTGATGTGTTAGAAAATGCAACGTATTTGAAGGACCGACCATTCAAAGAATGTAATTATTCCATCTTATCATCTATGGAACTTTTTGTCAAAAATTCCGAGACTCTGTCCGACTGCTACTCTCATTGATGTGCATCTGTTTAGAAAATGCGGTCTGATACCGTAGAGGATGGTTTAGAAAAAGTGCTCATGCCGTAGAGGATGGGATTAAATTTAGAGATTAAATTTGAAGGACCAACCATTCAAAGAAAGTAATTATTCCATCTTATCATCCATGAAACTTTTGTCAAAGATTCCTAGGGTCTGTCCGACTGCTACTCTCATTGATGTGTTAGAAAATGCGGTCTCAATCTCATGCCGTAGAGGGTGGTTTAGAAAAAGTGCTCATGTCGTAGAGGATGGTTTAGAAAAAAGTGAGGCTCCCTGGTATATAGGAAAAAGTTTCCACTTTACTTTTCTTTGACGTTTGTATCATTCGTTGTTGTTTTCCGCCTACAGAAGGTACTTTCTTCAAACTCAGCCTTTTCTTCTCATTATTTACTAGGATATTGCTTCTTTAACAATTATTATCTGAAATGGCGCGTTTATCTAATAGTTCTGCCGACCACGATATTGGATTTATTGCCGTGAATGCGCATTTGCCTTCAGAAGGCAATTTGATGTTCCTTTCTATGCTACTTTGTTATTGCCAGTTGCCACTGTTTTGAGCTAAGATCTAACGTTTTCACAATCTTGAGTTAAGATCCAACTTTTTCACCAACGGAATGTTCTGCCGACTTTGGGGTTATTACATAGCATTTTTATTCACTTAAAGAGATCTGTTTTACTTTCTGATCAGTTTGAGTGAATAATTCCTCGTGAACTTGGAAATCTCTCAAGTCTAAGTGTTGTGCACCTCGGTTGATATGAATTTTGTAGATACTAGAAGAGCGTATGATTGTTAGAGTTGTGGATTAAATCATTTACTTGTTTGATGTGCCTAGCTTGCAAGGAGGGTCTTTAGCTTGTACGAGGGGCTGTTCCCAGTTCCAGGTGGGGCCGCGAATACGACTGGCCTTAAAGTTGCTACTTCTTCAAGTTAGCAAATTGTGTCCTACATGGCACAATGTAATTTATTTTTTATCGACATGACATTGCCACATCAGCAAAATTATGTGTCTCACATTTGTCACATCATCACTTAACAGCCAAGTCGATAGATTGGCTAACGGAGATCTAAAACTAAAACAAATTTGTAAATTAATGTATGACATTAAAATGTTCAAAAAATGAGGTATGCGTTCGTTATATGGCTTTAAGTTGAGATGTTAAAATATAATTTACTCATTAAATTAATACAACGTATTTGAAGGACCTATTATTCCCAATTCCGAGGGGGACCCTAGATTAACTTCTGTTTCTATAGATGGACTAGCTAGTTGTTAAATTCTAAAATAAATAAATAAATAAAATCCATCTTATCTTATCACTTGTGAGATTTTTGTCAAAGATTCCAAGAGTCCGTCCAACCACTACAGTCATTGATGTGCATCGATTTTGAAAATGCGGTCTCATGCCGTAGAGGATGGTTTAGAAAAACTGCTCATGCCGTAGTGGATGGTTCAGAAAAAAAGTGAGGCTGCCTAGTGTATATATATAGGTAGCACTACTCTGGATCCTTCATTCACATACACATCACCTACTTCATACACTAGAACTTTATGGAGAGAAGCATGAGAGTTGTTTTACTACTAATCAGGGTTCTAGCTATTGCAACCATTACTTTCGGTATTGGTTTATGCAATGGAATTCCCGGTTGGCCTCCGCTTTGCAAAGAAAGCGAAAGACAAGCACTTATGATGTTCAAGCAAGATCTCGAGGACCCTGCCAATCGGCTTTCGTCATGGGTTGCAGAAGAAGGTTCAGACTGTTGCAGTTGGACAGGAGTTGTCTGTGATCACATAACCGGCCACATCCATGAGCTGCACCTTAATAGTTCCTACTCTGATGGGGTTTTCTACGCTTCTTTCGGTGGTAAGATAAATCCTTCTTTGCTCAGTTTAAAGCATCTCAACTTCTTGGACCTAAGCAACAATGATTTCAGTACAACACGAATTCCTAGTTTCTTTGGTTCTATGACAAGTTTAACACACCTTAATCTTGGAAACTCAGCGTTTGGTGGAGTAATTCCTCATAAACTGGGAAATCTCTCCAGTCTACGCTATCTCAATCTCAGTACTTTCCATTCCAATCTGAAGGTAGAGAACCTTCAGTGGATTTCTGGTCTTTCTTTGCTAAAACACTTGGACTTGGGTTATGTAAATCTTAGCAAAGCATCTGACTGGTTGCAAGTTACAAACACGCTCCCTTCTTTAGTAGAGTTAATTATGTCCGATTGTGAACTTGATCAAATTCCCCCTCTACCCACCACAAATTTTACTTCCCTGGTCGTCCTTGATCTTTCTGGAAACAGTTTTAATTCTTTGATGCCGAGGTGGGTTTTCAGTATTAAAAATCTAGTTTCTCTTCATCTCAGTTTTTGTGGTTTCCACGGTCCAATTCCGGGCAGTTCACAAAATATCACATCTTTGAGGGAAATCGATTTGTCACACAATTCTATTAGTCTTGATCCGATGCCCAAATGGTGGTTTAACCAAAAATTCCTTGAATTGAGTCTAGAAGCCAATCAACTTACAGGACAACTTCCAAGCAGTATTCAGAATATGACTAGTCTTACATCTCTTAATCTTGGGGGGAACGAATTCAATTCTACCATACCTGAATGGTTGTATAGCTTGAACAATCTCGAGTCCTTAATTCTTTATGGCAATGCCTTACGTGGTGAAATATCGAGTTCCATTGGAAACCTTAAGAGTTTAAGGCACTTTGATCTTTCAGGTAATTCAATATCAGGTCCCATTCCAATGTCCCTAGGAAATCTGTCAAGCTTAGTAGAACTAGACATATCTGGAAATCAGTTTAATGGAACTTTAATAGAAGTTATTGGTGAACTCAAAATGCTAACAGATTTGGATATATCTTATAATTCGTTAGAAGGTGTAGTGTCGGAAGTTATTTTTAGCAACCTTAAAAAGTTGAAGCGTTTCAGTGCACAAGATAATTCATTGACTTTGAAAACTAGTCGAGGTTGGCTTCCTCCCTTTCAACTTGAAAGTTTGCAATTGGATTCATGGCGCCTGGGACCTGAATGGCCAATGTGGCTTCAGAAACAAACGCAATTAAAAAAACTAAGCTTGTCTGGTACAAGAATTTCAAGTACTATTCCAACTTGGTTTTGGAACTTAACATTCCAATTAGATTATCTGAATCTCTCTCACAATCAATTGTACGGGGAGATTCAAAATATAGTTGCTGCTCCTGTTTCAGTAGTTGATCTTGGTTCCAACCAATTCACTGGTGCATTGCCTATTGTTCCCACCTCATTAGATCGGCTTGATCTTTCCAATTCATCATTTTCTGGATCTGTTTTCCACTTCTTCTGTGGTAGGAGGGATGAACCTTACCAACTTTCTATTCTTCATCTCGAGAACAATCATCTCACTGGAAAAGTACCCGACTGTTGGATGAATTGGACATCATTGGGATTCCTACATTTAGAAAACAACAACCTAACTGGGAATGTCCCAATGTCCATGGGATACTTGCTAAATCTACAATCGCTGCACTTGCGCAATAATCACCTGTACGGAGAATTGCCACATTCCCTAGAAAACTGTACCATGTTGTCAGTTGTTGACCTTAGTGGAAATGGGTTTGTCGGAAGCATACCAATATGGATGGGTAAAAGCCTTTCAGAGTTGCAGGTTCTTAACCTTCGTTCGAATGAGTTTGAGGGAGACATTCCTTCTGAAATTTGTTATTTGAAAAGTCTCCAGATATTGGACCTTGCACGTAATAAACTCTCTGGAACGATACCGAGATGCTTCCACAATTTGAGCGCCATGGCTGATTTGTCAGAATCCGTTTGGCCAACAATGTTTTCGCAAAGTGATGGTATTATGGAATTTACAAATGTAGAGAATGCAGTCTTGGTAACGAAAGGGAGAGAAATGGAATATAACAAGATTCTGGAATTCGTAAAATTCATGGACCTTTCATGCAACTTTATGTATGGAGAGATCCCTGAAGAACTTACCGACCTCCTCGCATTGCAGTCACTCAATTTATCGAATAACCGCTTCACCGGAAGAATTCCTTCAAAGATTGGTAATATGGCACAGTTAGAATCTCTCGATTTTTCCATGAACCAACTTGATGGTGAAATTCCTCAAAGCATGACGAATTTGACATTTCTGAGTCACTTAAACTTGTCCTACAACAATTTGACGGGACGAATTCCGAAAAGCACTCAGCTGCAGCTCCTTGATCAGTCTAGCTTCGTCGGCAACGAACTATGCGGAGCTCCACTCCACAAGAATTGCAGCCCAAATGGGGTGATACCGCCACCAACAGTTGAGCAAGACGGAGGAGGAGGATACAGTTTACTCGAAGACAAGTGGTTCTACATGAGCTTGGGAGTTGGATTCTTCACGGGGTTTTGGATTGTGCTTGGTTCTTTGCTAGTAAACATGCCATGGAGCATTCTTCTTTCACAGTTGCTGAATAGGATAGTGCTTAAAATGTATCATGTAATTGTTGAATATGTTTAGCTTTGTTTTGTACTTTGAGTAAGTTTGTTGGCATTTTCCTTGCTGTGACGAATATGCCAGTGTGGTTGTGTTGTATGATTTTGTCAAACTGCATCCTCTTGTATTTTTCTTTCAGGTTTAGCTTTAGAGGGGTTAGGTTTCATTCCCCCCTCCCTTGTATCGTTTTTGTTTTCATTTCAAGAGAGGTAAGGTTTATGTCCCTTTTCTTACTCAATGTTGTTTTTCTCCTTTTCTTAGCATTATGAGGGGTAAGGTCTATGTCTCCCCTAACTAGGTGTAACTTTTTTTTCGTTATCAATAAAATATCCCTCGTACCGTCGAGGTTTTCTTAAAATACAAAAAATAGAAAAAAAATATCCCATATAAAATTAAAAGACTTGTTTTCTGAACAAGTAGCTCTTAGTTCAGCAGAAGTAAATTGAATGACATGAGAAATGTGTGAAAATGGTTTAGGGATTAGTTACCTATTAATTAATTATCAGCAAACTCACATTATTCACATGATTTCGTGGCTGTAATTTTAATTATTTTTCATTTACAATTTTACCCCATCGATCTTTCTTTTGTTCTGTCTCCTCTCTCCCCTTCTTCGCAGTACTTCTCTCTCTTCTTTCTTCTTCGTACTTAGTCACGTGACACCTCTCTCTCTTCTACGAGAAAACCCAATTGCTATGCAGCTGTGAAATGCTCGTGGAGCAAGCAAAATGGTGACGACGGAGTTAGCATATTCCTATGTTATTTAGAGGCATTCTCTGTCACAAAGCATTCGTATTGATGCCAATATACGCAAAGTTTACAGACTTGAAACTGGATACGTTATGAAGCAACTTTGTTCCTAGAATAAATAAAATCAACCCGACTCGACATGTACCGATCTGTAGTTACTTGACATCCTAAGCATAAGGGTTAAGAACAGAACAAGGGCATATATTGCATGTACAAAAGACCCCGAAACAGAGTTTTACGACAGGAAAGAAGAAAAAAGAAATGCCAGAAGTATAGGGACGGTCCATCGTCTCTGCGTGTGGATGAATGCATCATGCATGCTACAACGACAGTGAAGGAAGAATAGAAAGTTTTGCAGAATCTGACTCCAGTACTCTACGAGTCTCTAGGATTAGCGAAACTTCATCTCATTTGGTTTGCTGCCCCTAAATGCTGAAAGAGAGAAGAATGACCTTGTTGCAGCTGAAACACAGATAGTAGAGTATTGGAATCTTAATCAAGCGAATTAGAAATGGCGCGTTGAAATTCTGTACGCAGGTGTAGAAAAACTTTGCAGGAAAATAAAAAATCATAGAAAACGATACTGTGTACTAGTCACGTGGAAAGACAACCTTTAGTTGCAGGTCCTGCAGCTGCATCCCGGTTCTCTTGTGACTTATGTGAACTCTGCCCGTCAAATCTGCTAATATTTGATTGAGCTGCATGCACAAATCCAAAATGATTATTAGCATGAGGGAAAAATGAACATCCGACCATCTAACTTTTCTCTACTACAATATGAAATACAATCTTCTTTTGTCAACTATCTGCTTTCACAACAAATTAAAGCAAGGGTTAGCGAGGGAGGGAGGAAAGGAGCAAAAGAAAAAATACACAAGGGCATGACTAAATTCTAACGAAAGCAGGAAACTTACTAGAGTACGGTTCATACTTCTTTGTATGAAGCGAAGACTTTCTGAGTACACTGTCAGCATCATCCTCTCCTTCAGAGAAAACCGACGGACTAGACCAACCAGTCGAATTGGCATCTCCCTTGCTCTTCCGAGCAAATTTTAAGAGCCTCTTCAGTCCTTTTGGTGCATCCTTTTGGAACACAATAGCAGGAGGATTTTCAGCATTTCCCCACTCAATATTATCTGGTTCATTACTTTCCTCTTGCAGCATCTGGGACAAAGAATGGCGGACACGAGGACTTGACAGTCCAGCTGGTGCAACATTGGCTGAAGTGGTTACTTGAGATGAGTCGTTGTTACATGGAGACATGGCCTGATGCTCCTCTATTTCCACCCAAGCACTTGGGGAGATGGTTGATTCTTCTTCAGCTTGAACTTGCATTGACGATTCTGCAACATTTTTTAAGTCATCATTACGATCAGGAGAAACTGGGTCAACATGCTGTGTCTCACTACACATCAGGCTATCATTTACCAGAGCTTCTGGTTCCACAGCATCATTTGAAAGGCTGATTGACACAATATCTGGCTCTTGATGCTGACTCACAGGATCAGAAGCGCTACCAATCACCTCATCCTCTTGAGTTTCAATAATATTTGTGTTGTTTCCCAAAGATTCCTCCGATTGAGGAGAAGTTCTTGTCTTGTTAACGACAGGACCAACACCAGGGCTCGTTCGAGTACCCTTCCGAAGAAATGGTTTTGATTCCACTGGCACTACACTGCTTTTCTTGGTCACCTTGTTGTGCTTTGCTGGAATTATATCAGAATAATCACCAGAGGTTGTCACTACTTTAGGTTTTGTTGTTTTACCACTCTTTTTCACTGCTTGCTGCTGCTTCTCATTTACTCCCTTCGAGCTTCTATCATTAGTAATCACAGATTCCTTCACATTCTTCTGTCGCTGTGGGGGTCTTTCCACTTTAGCACTGGGTGGTGTTGGCTTGGGTTTTTGACGGGTCGGGGTAGTGCTGGTAACCGCAACAGGAGTTCTAGCTGGCGATGCCCCTGTGGCTCTTGGTGTTGGTGTTGATGGCCACGACTTGCGTGTAGCAGGCATTGGTGATGTTCTAGGTGAAGCCTTCTTTGTAACAGAAGGCTTTGCATTTTCCTTTCTAGGATTTGCAGGTTGAGATACTTTTCCAACTGATTTTTGGGGCTTCTGCGTAGCACGTTTTTTATCAATATCATTCGCCTTTGTAGAGGACATTTCGGCTTTCCTTTCATCAAGAATTCGCTGCATTGCTTTAAATTGTGCTTCTTTCTCTGCTCGTTTTCTAGAATTCTCACCTCGTAGTTTTTCATCTCTCTTCTCCTTGTAGTGGGTCATAAAAGCCACCTCTCTGTTCAGAAGGAAGGCTTTGATTTCTCGTAGCTTGAGGCTTTGTAGATTTAACAGGCTTCACAGGCTTAACAGGTTTAGTTTCCATCATTTTCATCAGCATTTGGTTCAATTCCTGCTTCCCTTTCTTGACTCCATTCCATTGAAGCTATTGGTTTTCGATTACTTTTCTCTCCCAGAGTTATAGTAGAGTCTGCTTCAGTATCAATTGGACTAGATAAATTTTTCTCAAATCTTCCTTCGTTAACTGCCTGTTTAGGAGCTTCAATAGTATTTTGATCTGTGGCTAAAAGATCAGGCTCTGGTTTCATTTCTTCTGAAGATGTTGGCGCCTCACCATTCTTTATATCATTGGAAGTCACTGGACCACTGTCACCAGAGGCAATTTCAGATTGACTATGGGTGGAAGTTTCCCCCAAACCCGAGCTCCATCTTCTTAATACAGCTTTATTTGTACTCACAGACATATTTGTTAACGAGCTCCTTTTTTGAGCATCGGCAGCAGCTTGATCTCTTTGTTTGCTTTCGAAAAGACTAATTGCATCTTGAACACTCATCCTTCGTGCATTGCTCTCAGATTTCTTGTTTGAGTGTTCAGGTTCACCCTCTTCTGAAAAAGGCTTTTCCCTAGAAGGAAAGTAATTGAGGCTCTTAATAGTTAATGCAGCAGCTCTGCGTGACCCAGTTCTTCCTATTTGAATCCTCCGCATTGGAGATGCTGACCTTCTAGGTGCGGCACTTCTCATAAGACTCCGACTTCTTTCTGCAGATGTTCGCTCCTCGTCACTTGACTCAGAAGACTCCCCGCTTTCGGTTGAACTCTGTCGCTCAACCTGGGCAGCTTTTGCAGGTGAAACACTATATTTTACTGGCGTAGCGAAATTCATCGGCTTGGATATCTGAGCACTCCCATCCGTCTCAACATTGTCATCTCCAAAATTACCCGACTTGTCATCATTTTGAGGATCATTGCTCTTGCCTTGTTGATACTGTTCTAAAATCTTGAACAGAGTATTCCTGTGTTTTCATCATGATACTGCCTTTGTAAGAACATTCAGCAGATAAATCTTCAAACAACGGACTCTTTCAGAGCAACTAACCCTTTCTATTAATCTAAGTGACTACCTTACCTGAAATCTGTTGTTCCAAAATGTTGAGAAAAAATTGCTAAATTTGAAATCTCCTTAGAGTTGAATGAGGAATGAGAAGCCTTTTCAATAGCAGTAGTTAATTCCTTTCTTAATGCTGTAAGCCTCAAGTCCAGAGCCTGCAAAAGTTCGTTCCTGACAGCACAAATACCTATAGCGTCATGCTGATGCAACTCAAACGAAATCTTAAATGAAGAATTAAAAGGACATACTTCGAAGCATCTGATGGTGCAATCTCAGCTTCAGACTGTTGATAAAATCACACATTAGTTGCCGGATAACAGAATAGTTATTAAACTGTACACATTCAAACATCAATCTTGAAAGACGGGAGAAGGGACCTGGCCATATAAAGAAACATGAAACTTTTTGGCGTCTTCCAATTGAGATATTTCTTTTTCAGTAGCAGTAACAGTATGCATTACTTCTGGTGAACCAGTAATTTGCAGGAATCTGTGATGAAGCAAAACAATGTGTATCAGGAAATAAAATGGATAATTAAACTGAAGATAAAGAAACAAGAAAAACTAAACATTAGAGTGTTTAAAACCTGGTTAAAGTTGATTTCGTGAACCAGGCAGCACCATGCAGGCTTTTAGGAAGTCGGAGTGTGAGGTTAGCATTTGATCCCTTGGAATGCAATTCATTTACTTCCGGAAAATGTGGCAACAACGGTTCAAGTGCCCCGCCTGCTAACTTTTCTACTTCTCCGTCACTGGAAACAAGCGCCTCATACCTAGACCATCCTCAAACACATTAATGAAGCAAACCACAAATAAAAGGAATCACTTTCATGGACATTTTGAATTTTTCATCGAATCATATCTCCACAAACCCATTCTAGTTAAAGTCAAGATCAAAGGTTTTGTAAAGTTCGTTGTAATTTTGATAATGCACAAGTATAGTATATACAGAAAGAATAATTTTTATGATCCAATACAACCGAAGAGCAAAAATATACCCTTAAAAGAATTAAATTTACCGAAAGGCGAGAACCTAACCTGTTCTGGGACGGAAAAATCTGAAATTCAGCGTAGTCCAAGGGTGTACCAGCATCAATTTCCGCCTCCATTTTCAACTGAGCAGAGACAAAGAGAGTGTGTGCCGAGGCTGCTAAAAAGTAGAAATTTTTATGCTGCACAAGTGCAGATTCTGGTAAGGCGTAGGCGCACCGACAACCCAAAATTCAAACTAATTGTACTTGAAAAGGAATAAAAACACAATGAAAATATCCTTCTCAGACTGAGAAATGCAATCACAGTCGTACATTGCTTCTCCATATCAAAACCATTGCTCAAAAATACCAAAATTCACTTGAAACATATTTCTTTTTCGATCGAAACTCAGCTGAAACTTGAGCATTTCATTTCGTATACTATAAATTTCCGCAGTTGAAATGCAGATCTAGAAAACTCACAAACCAAACCAATCACTCCTAATCTCACCAAACATCTCAAGAACAATACATCGCAATATCAAATAAATCCGATTCAATTCATTTCATCCGCACTTCATTGATGTCGAAACCAAATCAAACCAAAAATTCAAAAAAAATCGAAATCGAAAACTAAAATAGTAACTGCAAAACATAACAGCCAATGTCTACCTTTCAGGCTGAGAGATCCGAGAGCGGGCAGGACCGCGAGTGAGAGACTGTGAGCTCAAACGGCGAATGCAGGAGGAGGAGGAGGAGGAGGAGGAGGAGCGTCTGAATCTCCCAGTCGTCTCTTTCACACTCTCTGTCAGTGTAGGTAGCCAGCTCGCAGCTGCAATGCAACGCACAAGACTTGTAGAAATAAAGACACCGCCATGATTGCTGTTGCTTGTTGAACCAAAAATCCAACGCATCTTTGTGGCGGATTGGAATTGGATGGTACCACTTGTCCTCCGCTCGCGTACCTCTCACGCTCTCCCTACACCTTCGTTTTCCTGCGGGCTTTTTTCCTTCCTTAACTTTACTTTTTCCACTTTAGTCACTTTCATTTCAATTGCTAGCATGTTTGATTTTTTTCTGAGAATAATGTTAGTTGTGGCACTTTCGTGCCGACAGATTTTTTCATGTACTGGGTATTGAAAGTCGGTATTTCACGTCTCATCGTATAAGTAGTGAGATGATATGTTTTTTGAAAGAGTTTAGCTTTCATAACACATGTTTACTGTCATTAAAACGTTTGATATCACTGATACGATTGATATGTATAACTTTCTTATCATATATTGTTGTATCATTAACACAGACACAACGTGTGATACATAAATGTTAGCATGTTTGTTTTTTTTTTTTGAGAATAATGTTAGTTGTAGCACTTTTGTGCCGACAGATTTTTCAAGTACTTGGTATTCAAAGTCGGTATTTCACTTGTCATCATATAAGTAGAGGGGGAATATGTTTTTTGATGTCTTTCTACTTGTGTTATAACTTATAACACATATCGATTTTTTGAAAGAGTTTATCTTCCATTTGACATGCGTTTATTGTCAATGTCATTGAGACGTTCGATATCACAGATACGATTGACATGTATAACTTTCTTTTCATATATCGTTGCATCATTGACACAAACACCGGTTGTGCCACGTAAATTTGTTTAATACTTAAAGAGATGTGAACTACGTATATATTGAAAACGAGATGTGAATCATGTGATTTGTAGATATGATTCAGATAGGAGTACTCATTTTTAGTCTTGTAGTCTTGTTTATTTAGCAAGCGAAGTCCTACGGCCCCGTTTGATGGGCTGAATGTGGTTTAGCCTTAGAGATAGGATTAGATTGGCAGTGACTTGTAACTTAAGTATAAGAATATGTTAGATAACTCACTCTATTTTGAACTCGTAACTCATCATGTTCATTCATTTCCATCTCACATTTCACACAACAAATAACATAACTCAAATCAATTTTAATTGATTACAACATATCTCATCCAATCTACCAAATGCCGCTGCATGTCTAAAATTGTTAAAAGAAAATTAAATGGCATGGTGGTAGTTGCATATTACTTTACCCCCATTGGATTCCATGTATTAAATTGATTTATCTGTTTATTTATGATTAGGACTTTGATTTCAAACCCAAACTAAACAGTATTTAATGAAAATGTAATAATTAACAAGATCACAAAGAATCAAAGTGAAAATCGAGTATTTCTCAAAAAAAAAAAAAAAGGTGAAAATCAAGTAATGTAATTGTTTTATTTAATTTAATTTATTTTTAACTTTTTCTTTCCATGTTTTGGGGTTGGAAATTCCAAAAGCGACCGCCGTTTGGTTTGTTATTCCCAATTTCACATGCAGCTCGTGTCGTGTTGATTAGAAAATTCAAGGACAAGAATAAAGAGAGGAACTTGTTTCCAAAAGGAAAGCAATCTTTCAGAATTCGATTTGCTGCAATTAAGATCCAACATACAAGACGAAACGACTCCGTTTCCCATGTCACTAACAACTCGAATTCTCTCTCGTCCTGTATTGTTATCACCTCTTGAAAAATGTTGCATATGTTGTCACGCACAACAGCCGGCACGAAGAAGACACGTACATAGGGCCACCACTGTTTGGACATAAAAATTTAAAAGTGTTATTGAACAAAAATATTAATTGCCACAACCAAATTATTTAGAGGTGTTTTTAAAATAATTAAGTACTCTTTGAAATTACTTTTAAAATTATTTTTAAAATGACAGAAAGCGTTTTTAATGAAAATATTTTTTAAATCAATTCTTAGTAAAAATGATAGTTAATTCTTGAAAAGCACTTAAAGTGAAGCATATAACGGGTTTATGTGCTTCTTCTATGAAGCACTTCAAATATTTTTGGGGCCTACAAACATTTCACTAAAATACTTTTGGAACCCAAAAACACTTTCTAAAAAAACTACTAGTCATTTTAAAAGCACTTTCAAAAGAGTTCATAAACTTAAACTACCAGAAACATTTTTGACGATGTTTGACATGAAAAAAAGAAGTATTTTCGGTTGTAAAAAATACTTGAATTGATTTATGTGTTAGGCGCTTATCCATAAAGTATTTACATTTTTATAAAATATTCTTTTAATAAACGCGTTATCACTCGAATCACTTATGAACAAAAATATTATTAGAGAAGCACTTTCAAACAGGTCTGACACCTTCAAAAAACATTTTCAAGTGTTTATAAAAAATAATCGAGTTTTTGTAAAATATCAACATGCTTTCATCAAAAGCTGCTTGGAAGTGCTTCTACAAAAGTAATCGCAAACGGGACCATATATCTTGTTGTAAATGAGTGGTGGTGCTGCAGAAGTAGCACGAGCCTCTCAAAGGGACCTTCGGTTGGCAAATCGTAAAGCTGCCGATCCACTCATACACATGCCTTGGTATTTCCATATGACGCTTGATTGGTTATTGCGAGCCTTCTAATCCATGTAAAGTTTTCACACCAACTCCACTTCTCAACACAAAGCCTATCCCTCTCAGAAAAAGGTAGGAAAAAGTGAGGTAGCTGCGCCATGTTCGTGTGGTCACACCAATTCCACTTCCTAACATTTCCAGCTCCAATTATAGTAAAGATCATTAACGAAACACTTCTGATACTGTTCACTTTTAACGTTAAGAACATTTCTATTCTAAAAAATCACTCATGGTACTTTTCAAATCAAAAGGAAAGTAGAGTTAAAAGAGTGCCAAAAATTAGATAAAAAGAGCGTCCGAAGGACCGAGGCAAACTCAATTCTACATTTATATTACACCACCATGAAAGAAATCGGAATTCAGGTAAAACGAAGAGACTAATGGTACAAGAAGTTCTCAAGCTCAACAGACACGAGGAACGAAATCGGATTTAAGGTAAAACAAAGGGATTAAGGGTACAAGAGGGAATTAATGGTACAGTTCTAGGGAGTTGTTGCGGTGGGGGGCAGCGAGATCAAATCAAACATCTAGATGACCAAGAAAGAATCTAATGGACATGGAGAATAAACTTGGAGAAACTATTAGTTAGACCATACGTGAACTAGACCGAGCCTATTGCCCGTGTAGATCTCGTTGCGCTCTTCGTCGTAGAAGAGGGCAGTAATGTCTTCCAAGGCTTCTGCAACTGTACTCCTAATTCGGGAGGAAAGGGACCGCTTCTTTGAATTGCAACTGCTGCCACAAGCCTCACCACTACAAATGCATTCTTTTTCAGCGTTGTTGGTAGCTCTTATCTTAGCAAGGCATTTTCCAGTCAAGATATTGCTGATATTGATGGATCCGGCTGCAAAAGAGATTTAAACAGCGTTAGAGATTCAAAGACGTAATGGACCCTCCATCCAATTAGATCTCCAATGGTGATCCAGTGGTGGATAGTCAAAGATCAGATCAGATAGTGGTAGTAAGGCAAAAAACAACTTTACCATTTCCTTCCGACAATGGATCATCAGAATCAGCCTTGCAGTAAGAAATAATAAGATCCTGGTCACTAGTAATATATATGTTATTGGTATTGCAGTCGGGATGCCACAAAAGATGATCCTCAAATGAAGTCACAAGTTCTCCTCTAAAGTTCCAAACAGCCACTGTTCGATTCCGAAACGTCAAGAATAACTGATTCTCATATAGAAATATGAAGGCTGATGGGGTCATGAATTGAGTTCTGCTTACTTCTGTCATCTCAAAATTGCGAACCTACAGATGATAGCAGTCAGACGTGTAAATCCAAATGAATAGATTATAGTACTTCTGCAAGATATCAAGAAAGTCCTCACATCAAGAATTTGAAGGTTCTCATTTTCTTGCTTTACAAGAAGCTTCTCGTTGAACTGTTCGATGAAATCCACCTTCTTATTCCGATGAAGGAGATGGTTAAAGGATTTGAGAACAGTACCATCCTCTATAGACAGAATCTTAAGAGGAACATGACTGCTAGCTTTAGTAAAAATCAACAGCATGATCCCAGGACTGTAACAGAAACAAAAGAAAAATTGGAAAACAGAAGCAACATAAATGTCCACTAAGCAATAACAAAAGGAGTACCAAACGCATAAACCACCACTAGTGCGAGTGTGTGGCCACACACAGAGACATGTTTAAGAAGGAAGAGGCGTCCGAACTAAGCTTACCTGATCTTAATCTCTTGGACATGCTTATCCGATATGGAGTACAACATTGTATAGTTTTTCAGATCAAACACCTTGTATATACTGGTAACAATATAGAAGCATAAGGAAGGTAAATCAAATCAAGAAGACAATAGTGTATTAAAAACAAAGACCGATAAGACAGAATATTTTACCTATCCTGTGCAGAATAAGTAAGAACCTTCCCATTTACATCATCGAACTCTACAAAACCAGGCCATTTCAGTGACTCGGATTCAAAAAGAGCAAATCCAGCATCTGGTTTACCCCTTCGTATGTATCTGGATCATACAATTTGACAGAATATTCAGAAAGAAATAAGAGAAGAGGGAAGTAAATTGGGACAACTACACTGTCATTTCTTTTGAACTTCCTTTCCTTTTCTGTGTATCTAGAAGGAAGGGGGGAGCGTGGAGAAATTTTACTTACTCAATCCTTGTGCTTCGGCATTTCAAAGAACTGAAGTTGTCTGAAGCATAAACCGAGACAGTGATAAGTGAGTCATTGTTTTTATTGTAAAACAAGCTTCTTATCACTTCATCAGGACTGACATTCAGAAAGCATATTCTCTGGTTGGTTTCTGCATACAACAATATAAACATTACATATTCCCTTTTTTTCAAACATTTATAGGTTACAAGACTAGTGCATGCAATATAAGATCAGAAATACAGCTAATACAGCTACTACCTCGGCTAAATGCTGCACAAACACCAGACTGTGCGAGGGCAAACACAATGTCACGTGCTGCTACAATTTCAATAATTTTGGACCTCTTTCGCAGGAAAGGCAGAACCATGGCACAATGACCTTTCGGATCATGCGTATCATATTCATCCTATGCATCCAAATATCA